TCTTGAGCTGAAGAGCTGGGGGACAGTGCCCAGGCCCAGAGTTCAGGCTCTATGACCAGACCCAAAAAAAAAAAAAAAAAAGAATTTCAAACCTGTATTTCTCTTGCAATGTAGAGGCAGTTTATTATAAACTAAGAATATCAGTACTGTGCATATTAATCACTGTTTGGAGTATCCAGGAATGTAAATGTGTAAGTTAATTTAAGTCTTTTTCTAGGAATATGAAGCCATCTACTTAGCAAAATTAACAATACAAATGATGTCACCACTCCAGATAGAAAGGTCCTTGTCTGTTCATTCTGGCAACACAGGTATGGGTTTTTGTTTTGGGGGTAAGTTGGAGAGAGAGAGAATTTTTTTTAAGTGGAAAAAAAGCATCCAGTTGTTATACAAATTATACTAAACAACTTATTTAGGACATTTTGTTTTGGCTATCAAATTAACACAAGATAATTTTTAAATGATTACTTTATAATATGACTTAGAGTGAACTGTGAGAACAGTGCTGCATAGTCAATTAGAGTATGTTGACTGGAAGATCAAATATCTGTTTCAGTTAGTTTTAAATCTCTTAAATAATACAACTGTTGTCCTATTAAAATGAGTCCTGGTAACTAAGTTGTGATCTTATTTTATAAAATGTGGTTAATAAAAACTTGTTTCAAGTTTAAAATAGCAACATGAGCTACCTCAGTTTTCCTCTGCCTACCAGTATTGATCTCTACTGTTTTAGAAGCACCTGAAATCCCTTTTTCTAAGATAACCATCCAAGCAACTTCTCTAAAGGACTTGCTTCTCCTGATCACCTTCCCCATAGCTGGGATCAAAGGGATGAGCCACTATATCCTGCTCTCCAGACTTTCTTTTGTTTTGTTTTGTTTTTGTTGGTCATAGGGCTTGAACTCTGGGCCTGGGTGCTGTCCCTCTGCTCTTAAGCTCAAGGTGAGGACTCTACCGCTTGAGCCACAGTGCCACTTCTGGTTTTCTAGTGGTTTATTGTAGATAAGAGTCTTACCGACTTTCCTGCCCAACCTGGCTTTGAACCATGATCCTCAGATCTCAGCCTCCTGAGTAGCCAGGATTATAGGCGTGAGCCACTGGCGCCCCGCTCAGACTTACTTTTATAAACATATTTGTAATGAATGACATTTTTGGTTTACCAATGCTTTTGCTGACTTAATTCCTTCAGAAGGTAACATTACAATGGTAGTAAAAGTTGTGACTTTCCCATGTGTCTGTTCTAATTTCATCTGCAACTTAGAAAACCGAACTATCGTGGAGCTTGAACTCTGGGCCTGGGCGCTGTCCCTCAGCTCTTCAGCTCAAGGCTAGTAGTGCTCTACTCCTTGAGCCATAACGCCACTTCCTGTGGGAAGTTTTTATATGAGCAGATTTGGGGTATAAAGAGAAGATAAAAGGAGCCAGTGGCTCAGACCTGTAATTCTAGCTACTCAGGAGGCTGAGATCTAAGGATTGTGGTTCAAAGCCAGCCCAGGCAGGAAAGTCCCTGAGACTCCTATATCCAATTAACCACAAGAAAACTGGAAGCTTAAGAGCTGAGCAACAGGGCCCAGGCCCTGAGTTCAGGCCACATGACTGACCCAAAAAAAAAAAATGTATGTTCTAAATCACATCTTACGTTGCCTCAAGTTGGTTGGCAATCAAACTTTATGAACCATTTCCTATTTCTAAAGTTCTATTCTGACACTTTTTAAATTACTGTTTATTATAATGCTTTACTTAATTCCCAGGAGGAAAATGTATACTGTCATTAAAGATTTACTATAAATTCAACCATGAAAGTTATCATAGTGTATATACATAGTATCATATTTTGAAAAACAAAAATTTTAGTGGCTGTGATAATCTGTGTTTATATAAACTCTCACTTTACATTATATTCACTCAATAACTAGGCAGTTTGAAGAGAACACATGAAGAAGATGATGATTTTGGAAATATGCAAGTGGCAACTGCACAGAACGGCTGACTCAAGGAGTATTATAAAAGAGGATAATTTCTATTGGGAAAAAAAGGAGAAAATACCAGGAAAAAATAATGTAAAAATGGGAAAAACGCAAGTAGTTTCTTTTCAATTATATGTTGCTTCCAGACATGTTTCTCTGCAACTTGTTGAGCAACATTTTAAGAAGATGTTGGACTTCTGCAATAGATAGCACTGAGATATTGGACTTCTGCAATAGATAGCACTGATGGTTTTCCTTTTTTTAAAAACACTTTACAGTTTTATTATAAACCAAGAATTTTGGACTCACAAAGAGGTATTATTGCAATAATGCACTTTTCATACTTGAAATTTATTTGTATGATACAAAGTTATTACTTTAAACAAAATGCAAGTTAGGGGGATTCGCTTTGAATTTGGGTAATTTATAACATTTCCTAATGTTTGCTAAAAGTTCGTTTTGTGTTCTATATATTACATTTAAAAATAATTTTACAGTTCAATTTTATGATGAAGCCTCTAACAGAAACATTAAACTGCAGGAATCTGCCACATTTTTGGTATAATTCAATAACCTAATTAGCATTTTATTTAAATTTTTGATCCCCTATTAATCTATAAATCATGACAACCAGCTATCCTTACTTTACTAACTTAATCTAATTAATGCTTCCATTCTCATACCTTCTTAATTTGTTTATAGGGAAAGGTTTAATTTACCAAAAAAAGATGTTTTACTTTATTGTACCAGATGTTCAGAAACAATGATAGTGTTAGATTTTTCAAATGATTTCCCTTTTAGCTTTTTTTCTTAAAGCCAAATGTTGCATTTATTCTTTTCAGAGTTGCCTAGCCCTTTTTAACTTTCTAAAATGGTTCTAAAAAGAATATAAGAAACAAATGTAGCACTATTTTTTTCTAAATGAACCCCCCCCAAAAAAGTGCCTTTCATCATTTAAAAAAATTAAATGCTCATGTGACCTCTAACTAGTATAACAGTAAAACATTCTTAATATTTTTCTGTAATTTTTTAAACCATAAACTGAATGTGTAAGGCTTGAAGAAGCACTACTAAATTATTTGGAATATGGGACATTTATGTTGTCTTAATTGTTCTGTGAAGTTTTAGCTCAGACTGGCAAGGTTTTCTTTGAAGATGCATTTATTGGGGAAAGTGACTTGTAAGTCTTGTGTATTTTCAAAAAGAATTTTAATTAGTTCTTTACAGTGAGTTAATCCAAATTCCTCCTGTAATTTGCATTAACAAAGTCACTTTATGGGTCTTTGGTTCTCTGCTTTTATTTATATTGTATAAAAGTTAATTCTAAGAAAAACATTTTTGCTATTTTAGGGGGAGAAAGTTTCTAACTTTTTGTAGTTGATGACATTAGGGTAGCACAAACTCCTTTGTATCTATCTCACTTTTTCTCAGTCCTCTCTTGAGGTGCTTTACTGATGGGAATATTGCATTCCCCTAGTACCCAGAGGCACTGTGCAAAGTAACTTACTACACTAAGTTACTTGCTTTGTGTTCCTCCTTTTGATGTAAAAATACAGATAAATCTCTATTATCCAGCATAGGGAAAATAATTAGAATTATTCTGTTAAGAGTTAATTCCTGTTGGCCCTTCTGTATTCCTCTTCTGATTTCCTCTCAACTACCCTGAAAACAGCATATTATTGATCCCTCAGAGGGATTGTAGAATTGTACAGTAGTGTACAATTAGTTCATTTGGTGTAGTCTAATGGAGTCAGGTTGTATTAGGTGTTCAAAACTTCTACTTGGTGAAGAAATGGTAGCTTTCCTGTGTATATTTCACATTGGACAGGCAGGAAAGATCTCTTGCAATCAAATCATAATCTGATGCTTTATTCAGCAGAAGCTCTACTTAAAATATTTTAAGAGTAAATTTGTCTTAAAAATGAGGCATTTGAGGTTTTGAAAAATTAGTTTCATAAAAATATATATCCTTGCTAAAGTAATCTGACCAAAATGACAGATTCAGCTGTTAATAATTTTTATCTGGTAACTTTCCACTCTTTCTAAATACTATTTTTGTTCTCAAAGTACCTGTGTAGGAAGACAGGCTCTCTGAAACACTAGGACTGCCAATCTCAAAAAGGGACTACCACCCACCCATATTGAGCACAATATTAATGTGGACAAAACAAGGTTTACTATTCTTTCATAAAAGAACACATAAAGTTTTTCTTTGGTTGTTTGTATTTGTTGTTCAACTAGATGATCTGGTAGCTCTTATTTTTGTTCTGTTTGGTTCTATTTCTGTGATGCTTTTCAGTTACGTTTTGTGATAGTCAACTGAGAAACTTAGCCAATCATGATTTATATTCTAGAGGATCTGAATAATGTATGAATAATCACCCAATTTTAACATTAAATAGTAATCTGAGCACAGAATTTAGAGTGAAATTAACATCAACATAGGGAAAGTGCATTACTGTCCACTTTGAAAGTATGAAAATATTAAAAATTTCAAGCTGGAATGTCAGTATTCTCATCCTCTAATTTCATATAATTGGTTCGTGTTAATTTCTTCAGGTTTTTAAACAATACTTAATTTTTATCTACTGTATGGTGGAAATGTTAAAAAAAAAGTGTAATATATTTTGCTACCAACTCTTAACCATATAACTTTTAGAAAAATATTCATTCTGGAGGAATTTTATGCTTAATCTGAGTTTAGAGGAATTATCAGAAAATGTTAAGCATGTCCTTTGTAAAAAGAAAAAAATACATATATCTATCTCTCTCTATATATAAGGTTCCTAATTGTCTTATTACCATGGTAATTCCAGTGATTTAGAAGTATTTAATGGCAATCTTGAATTGTAAAGTTGAGGTGTATATATCAGGATCTCAACCTGATGTAAAGTAAATGAGCAGTTACCTGGCAGGTTTTTTTTTTAATTGGTTTAAACCATAAACCTGTAACACAGTTTCACTTCAATATTAGTTATCTTTGTTTATAATGATCCAATAAGGAAATGATAGGAAGTAGTTGAGATTTACTAGAGAATTTATTTTTTATTGATTTAGAAAAACTAGTTTGTAGGGTCTTTGAGTGCTGGATTTTTTTTTTTTGTCTTTCCCATCCATGGCAGCTAAAAAAAGTGTATCACTCTCAAAATATTCAGGTTTACATGTTAAGCTCTCTCTCACAGGGAGCCACCATACCTCACAGTTCAAAGTGTATTCTATAAATCAGTAATATTGTACTGACATGTAATTGCAGTTTACTATGCAGCAAAATAATTCAAGAAGAAAAATAACGTACAGTGTCTATTTACCTTGTATAGGCAATTGCTTACGTTACTCTGCTTTTAACATTGTACTTCAGTAAAATGTATGTATAGGAATGTAACAGTGCAACATGCTGCTAGCCTAGGCACAAAGTATTAAAATTATTTTGTGAAGATTGGTGGTTGTATTAAAAACTGTTGTGCCATTATACCTCAAAAAGCTCATTCCTACTGTTATGTCTCAAAACTTGTTTATCTTCTGGGCAGAAGTAATTTGGTATTCACTTTTATAGACTAAAAAAGGGTAGGTGAACATTCAATACTGAGAAAGTTAAGTTTATCCTCCAAAATACAAGAATTACTGTTTTTCTTACTGACACAATTGTTATATATTAAACTTTATATATAATTGTTTCCCCCAGGAAAGATTTCAGAGAATCTTAATACAACTAAAAGGGATTTATTGAAATGCCAATCTTTGTTTTATGGTTCTAGGGCTTGAACTAAGTGCTTGGGCACTGTCCCTGAACTTTTTTGCTCAAGGCTAGCGCCCTACACTTCAGCCACAACTGAATTTTTTAAGGTGGTTGATTGGAGATAGTCTTATGGGCTTTCCTGCCCAGGCTGGCTTCAAACCATGATTCTTAGATCTTAGCCTCCTGAGTAGGTGTGAGTCACTGGCACCTGGCTGAAATGCCAATCTTTTAGGTAGTTTTACCTCAGCTAGTTCAGTGGTAATCATAAGCATGAAATTTTGCCTTTTTACCAGTCTTATTTAACATAATTTTCTAATATCAGAATTGACCTAATGATGCTACTGCTAAAGTTACAGAATTTCTTCTGGAGAGACAAAAGTAGCTTTCACTAGAAACAAATAAGTTCATCTGTATAGGCTGTCAGTAAGTAAGTAGTTCACTCTCTATTGTCAATTTCAGTTGTTTTGGGAAACTAGAGGTGAGTGGAGGGAAATCCAGAATGCAGTTTAAGTGGTATGAATCAAGAGATGAGAAACTGGTGCCCCTTTCTTTCTAAGATAATTTTACCAAGAACACACAGACCTATGTTGTAATACATCATGATTTAACCTGATAGATCAGTACAAAACTCAAGAAAAATATAGACAGAATTCTGTTTATACAAACAGGTTTAATGTTAGCATGGAATGCAAAAGACTAGAGCCATTACTCCTCTGACTTAAAAAAAAAAATCATTAAAATAAATAAAATTAACCAAGACAGTGACTAGAATAATGCTATCATGATAATCACATTAAGTAGAAAAACTTCCATCAACATTTCAAAAATGTTACAGTGCCACATTTCTAAGTACCACATTCAATTAATTTTATAATATTCCATGTTTCATTAAAATGTGACTCCAGGAAAAGTATCATTTAGATATCCAGAAAAAATGGTACACACACGTACACGCACACACGTGCTATTAATTCACTGTTTAAAACTGATGCCCTATATTTGCTCTTGGGTAATTTTAACAAATGAATAATTGTATTTGACAGATAAGACAAGCAATTGGTTATACACAGAACCATATAAATTTTAGTAAAACGTTTACTATACCTTGCATCTGTCATATTTTTATGAGATAATTTTCATTTTTTGTACTTTTTTGGGCAGTACTTGTGCTTAGGGCCTTGAGCTTGCTAGGTGGGACACTGTGCCACTTACGCCACACCTATTTCTACTTCATTTAAAAAGCTGCCCAGGTTGTTTTCCAGTATTAAGGTCAAGAATTTTCAGTGTATAAATATATATTTATAATAGCCAATTTATCGATTTCATATAATATGGTGTAAACCCCTAAGTCTAGATATTTCTTTGGAAAAAAATACCTAATTCTAACTAAATGTATTTTTTTTAGTGAGCAGCACATAAAGCAGACATGTAAACTTACTAAGTGTACTCGACTACTGAGAAATGAAGCCAAACTTTAGAAAAATACAATGCAAGAAAAGATTCAAGTTAAAAATATATTCCTTTGGTTAAAAATCACCCCCTTTATAATAATCATTTGTGATCTAAACTCACATAAGCCCAGAGTAATCTTTTAATGTCATTACACTTGTATTACAATGTTCTTTATTTCAGTCCAGTCTGTAGGCAGGTCACTGTGTTGCAGCAACAAAATGTAACTCTACAGAGAGTTAAAGCCTTTTAGCACTGACCCCCTTTGTTGACAGTTCTCTTAAGATTTTTACTTTAGGAACCTCCGACACATGTAGTTTTCTTCAGACACTGTGTACCCAAACTTTTTGTAGAAACCAACATTTTGTGGTAGACATTCAAGAGTAATCTTGTAACAGTTCAGTTTCTTGCTTAGTAAAGTAAGAGTTGATAGTAATAATTTGCCAAGCTGTTTTCCTCTGCATTCATCACTAACAACAACATCTTCCACTCTTCCTCTCTTAGCACAGGAATGGATGAATTTATGTTCTATTATCAGAGTTGCTGTAGCGACAATCTGTCCTAGGGTCACATCTTCTACAACTGTAACATAATAGTCCCCAGATTTCCTCATACGCTCAAAAGATTTCATAAATTGCTCAGGGTTGACAACTCCAGTCTCTGTCAGCTGGCCCAGTACTTTAAAAAAACCATTTTCTCATGGTGAATTGGAGATGAGTGTCTCACTGCCTTTCCTGCCCAGACTAGCTTTGAAAATGCAGTCCTCAGATCTCAGCCTCCTGAGTAGCTAGGATTACAGGCCTAGGTCACCAGCACCTGGCTCTATTTAAGTCAGCAGTACAAAGAGGCCTCAAAACCAAGCCTTCTCCAGGGTGTGTTGGAGAAATAGCTGGAGAAAATGTAGCTGTATTCTGACTCCAGTCCACTTCTTTGAGTAGACTTGGGTCAAACATAGGAGTGTCATCAGGTTTCATCTTTCCAGTACGACCTACAATAAAATTTTAACTATTAAGGCATTTTATTTAATAGAAGGAAAATTAATATGCTTGATGAAAATTTCATTTAAATGATCAGTAAGAGTGATAGACTAGTTTTACTTTCACCTACCTAAAATCTAATATCCACACTACTGATTGATAAAAAAGATAAGTTTACTAACAACAGATAGGAAATGGATTATTAAATAAATGATTAAAAGATATTTTCAACTTTAAGAGAATCCTATTTTCTAGTAGGCCTTTTTAAGATATTTTTACTTGTGGATTTGTTCTAAGCTTTACACTGATCTTATGGACTGAATATAATCTTTTTAGATTATATTCTTGTGCTTCATTATTAGATTTACAAATATTTGCTAATCTTGTCACTAAAAAGGGAGGGAAGACCAAAGTTCAAGGACATCCTGGGCAAAAAGTTTGAGACTCCTCACAGCTGAGTGCACTGACCCCAGCATGCCATCCCAGCTAGGAGGGAGGCTTGAGATAGGTCAAAGTTGCAGGCCAGCTAAGACACAAAGTTTGCAAGACTGTATCTGAATGGAAGAAGCTAGGCATGGCGAAGAATACTTGTCCTACCAGCTCCTGCAGAAAGTATAAAACTGGAAGATTTCCGTCTGGCTAAAAAGTGAGACCTTAGCTCAAAATGACCAAGTGGGAAAATGTCTGGTCTAGAGTGCCTACCTAGCAAGCTCAAGGCCCTGAGTCAAAAGCCCCAGTACCATCAAAAAGAAAATGACAAAAGTTACCATTCTTGGAAAGAATACAAATGTAGTTTACTAAACACTAAGTTAATTTTAGGACATGCTGAGTTCCTTCCTGATAATTGGACCCCTGAGGTTCTATGTGTAATCTGACTTGAAATATGGATAACATTTTCTAGGCATGCAAATTAAACAGGCTCTAAATAATTACCAGTAAAGTAAAATCAGTACAATTAAATGTTGAGTCAGAAAATACTAAAAATTTAAGTTCCTTAAGGCAGCATGCTATACATTTTGATCATGGATTTTATAGTTGTAAGCATGAAGTATAACAAAAGCTCAAAAGGAAATAGATGAACAAACTTTAAGCTGGGTGTGGTGGCTCAGGCCTAAATCCAGCCACTTGGGAGGTAGAGATCAAGACCATAAACTTTCCAGAGACTGCCTTTCAGTCAGTGTCTGAGTACAGTGGTGCTAGCTATTTCAGCAACCTGAGCAGTACCACAGCAGGGGATCAAAACCCAGAGCAGCCCAGACATAAAGACCCTTCCCCAAATTAACCAAAGCAAAAAAAAAAAGAGGATTTGGAGGTGTGGCTCAAGTGGTATAGCACCTGTCTTGCAAGCCTGAATCCCTGAGTTCAATTCCCAGTACTGAAAAAGATGAATATATATTATTATTTCCTATAGTGTTGTTACCAATAAAATGTAGCCTGGGAAATACACAAAATAGGGTTAGTTTGTCTCATGAATAAGAGGGGAGAAGAATTAAGAAAGCTTTAATTTTTGCCAGTAAATATAAATCATTTATGCGTTTCCTTAACTAGATGGTCCTACAATATGAATTACAAATATTAAGTTATACTTGTTATTTGTTGGGTGATTTGTATTTACTGGTTCCTGAAAGCTACATCATGATTGCTTCCCTGTTTTACAGACTACAAATCAGGTGCAAGAATCTGTTCATGGTTCCTGTGCAGGTAAGGAAGAAAGTTAAAATTCCCAAGGCGAGAGGGCCAGCCTCACAGGACTTACTCTATTGCTGCCAGTTTGAATTAGTTTTTAACAGGGAGTTCTACATTTTAATTTTGCACACTACCACAATTATGTAGCTAGTTAGTCCTGCTGGGCAAAATGACTTCAGACTCTGTGAGCTTGTATAGATAATCTCCATTTTATTGTTGTGTAAAAGTTCAAAATTTAACTAGCAAGGCACTTGGAACCTACAGTTTGGAAATGAAAATTAAAGACTAGTCAAAAATGTACTAGGGCCAAGTGCCCATCCGTGACTCTCGCCTGTAATCCTAGGTACTCAGGGGGCTGAAATCTGAGGATTGCCGTTCAAAACCAGCTTGGGCAGGAAAGTCTGTGAGACTCTTATCTCCAATTAACCACAGAAAATCGGATGTGGCACTGTGGCTCAAATGGTAGAGTGCTAGCCTTCAGTTGAAGAGCTGAGGGACAGCACCCAGGCCTGGAGTTCAAGCCCCACAACCAACCTTCCTCCCACCCCCCCAAAAAATGCACTAGGAAAAAAATCATTTTGGAGAGAAATTACCATACATTATAGCCAGCAGCCATACATTAGTACCTATACTCAGCATCCAGGAAGCTGAGGGAGGATCGGAAGATCACTTGTGGCCAGCCAGGGTCACATAGTGAACTATATAGCAAGACCTTATCTGAAAAAAGAAAATTTTTTTTAAAAATGTGCTATTTAAAAAACACCCAAACTTAAGGATCACTTTATCTCACATGTCTTCAAGTAGAAAAATTCTGGTGCTTAATCAACATGCTGGAAAAGGAAAAGCAAGAGAAGATTAGATACCAAATTTTCAAAGGATTTTAGGAAAAAACAAGATAGGGATTCTTATTTGATTTACAAAACAACTATACATCATGAAGTTTATATTGAGGTCCCCAAGTACTGCAAAACTAGAATAAATAAAATTGCCTGGTTATTATGGGTTTGTAACAGTTTTAAAAAGTACCAGGAGGGCTGGGAAGGTGGCTCAGTGGTAGAGCGCTTGCCTTGCATGCCTGAGGCCCTGGGTTCGATTCCTCAGCACCACATAAGCAGAAAGAAAAAAGCTGGAAGTGGCACAGTGGCTCAAGTGGTAGAGTGCTAGCCTTGAGCTGAAGAGCTGAGGGACAGCGCCCAGGCCCAGAGTTCAGGCCCCATGACCGGACCAAAAAAAAAAAAGTACCAGGAAATCCACAGTTGTGTGGAGGCTCCCAGGGCGGCATACCCAGAGAGGGTGTGAAAACTGTGTCTCCTCTTCATCTGTATCCTCATACTGAGGCAGCACAGATCCCCAAGTCAAGCCATTCTTATGGCAGTGAGAAAAAAGCAACTCGAAAAAGCCTCTACTTTTAACTGGCACAATATCACTCCTACCCACATTCTGCTGGTCAGCCAGCCTTGTCCAAGGTCAGTGGGTGGGAAAGAATACTACCTACACAGAAGCCATGAATGGACAGAAAGGGAAGAGAATTGTAAACAAATGCAACTTTCTAACACAACTTTCCAGTAACAAGAGTTAATAATTTTCCCCTGTTTAAGTGATTTTAAATCGGTAAAAAAAAAATAGACATAGATTAAAACCAGACTTTATTTATTTATTTATTT